TATCTCCCCTCCCCCAACCCTGGACTCCCCCCTCCATACCTTAACTGCCACTATGTGCCGGTCAGCAAGCCTCTCTGCGACCTTGACCTTGGCGTAACTGCCCTTGCCTAGCCGGGGTCCGAGTCTGTAGCCACGCGCGTGCAGGTAGGCGGAGACTTGCATCGGTGTAGCCCCGCCCATCGGGGCCGCGGTCTGCCCGGCCGGGCTCGACGCCGATCCTGTGTGGTTGCAAATTTTAGTTTAGTTTTAGTAAGAGTATTACGGCACTAGAAACACATTAAGGTAAAACTGTATAAGTGCCGAAGATTAGAGGTGTTACACAAGAGAGAACAAACACAACCAAAAGAAGGAGGAGAGATCAGGACGATAGATGTTTGATAGGAAAGAAGGAGCAAACCACGCCTTAGCACCCGCCAACCACCCACGGTTATAGATTTACTGTATGGTACTGCTGTTGTTGTAGTTTTCGTTGTACTACTTTTGTTGTACGGCTGTTGTAGTGTTGGTGTACTACATAATAATTTGTTGTACGTTTGTTAGAAATCTGTAGTGGGTGGTTGGCGGGGGGTGTGGTGTGGTTTGTTCCTTCTTTCCTATCAAACATCTTCGTCCAGATCTCTCTTCCTTCTTTTCTTGTGGGCTTGTTAGTCCCTTGTAACCTTCAATCTTACGCACTTATTTGACCTTATTGTTTTACAAGTGCCGTAAAACTCTTGCCAAAACTAAACTTTAAAAAAAATGTGTTGGAAATAGGTCGTAGGTTTCACGAAAAATTATTTTTAATTTCTCAGAAATCTGTCATTAACGAGCGACCACCCCAACAAACACAATAAAAAGAAAAGACGTATCCCTAATCCTATCCGTTCTCCAAACCCAAACCCTAACCCTAACCCTACCCCAAACCTAAACCTAAACTTAAACCCTACCACTACCCCTATCCCTACACCTATCCCTTACCACTCTGTTCTACTTTGTCTCATAGTCGTCGCTCGCGTTACGGAAGTCCATAAATATTCCAATGTTGACATAAGCATCCATGTGTTTACCTGCATCTGGCGTGGCCAGAGTCCTCGAGTTTGTCACCTCACCATCTACACCAGAGCCAGGCTTCGTGGCGGTACCCTGCACAGTCGCAACGGATGTCACCGGAGGTTCTACAGACGATTAGGAATTGCTTGGTTGCCAAACTGGGAGGGAAAAGTGGTTATAGTCTAATAAAGAAAGCCCCCACTAAAATGTCCTCTTTAGTTCGTGGTGTATTGTGACGTCAATATCAATACTTCCCATACTCTCGAAAGTATACGCATTTAAAAAGTGAAATGGATAAGTTGTGGGGGGAAAAAAATCTGCCCCTAAAACACAGACAGTTAAATAAAAAAAATATTAAGTCCAGTATGGGTTTAAAGGTGTGGAACCAATTATGGTCTTTTATTCAAGGTTTCCCTCGCTTAAAGTATAATTCGTTACTGCACTTGTTCCTTCCATCTTATGATAATTTAAATTAATTCATTTTATTTTCGGTGCATTCACCTTTTTAACATTAATCGTGAGTACTTCCGTTCAACAACTGCATTTGCAGCGGAGAACACGCTTGGTTTTATCATAATTTTGTTAAAACTTTATAAAGATATTCATGTTTCTTCTTTGCAAGTCATAAAATTATAAATAATATGTTATATCATACACACCGAGACTATTGTAGGGAGCAGAACTTACAGGCCAAAAAAACATAGGCTAACCGCACACAAGCTTTTACAGGTACCAGACTCAAGGCATTACTGAAAAGCAAGACAACAAAAAAACATGAACAAAACGAATGATCACTTCCAGCACAAACTGCCCTATCCTAAAACTGATCTTGAAATCCATGAGAGCCAGATAATTAAACTGGATTTTATTCTAATTTGACTAACATATTTGAAACGCAACAAACACTCAGTGGTTTAAAAACTGCCCTCCAAAATTTCTGAAATTTATAGAAGCATTTTCATAGCCTTAGCCAAGTTTTCAATTGGTTAGAATGCGCAACGTATTATCTTATCTTATCTATCTTACACATCCAATATTAATTTTCCTGTTTCCTTCATTACTAAGTTTGGATTAAGCAGGAATTCTACAAACAAAGGTTGATATCAAGCAAAATACAAAGTTTACAGGCCCTGTGCACGTTCATGTATGTCTCTCTTTAACTGAGATATGATGTATCTGTCATCTCTACTTCTATCATTCCAAAGTTGACATAGATTATCTCCTTTTGTGTCTTACGTCTATCGGGCTATTCTATGATAATAATATGCGGGTATAGACTCAAAGCAGTACTTCAGCATGACACCAGAATCAGAATTAAAAACTCTCAGAAAAAAGACCACTTCAAGTCGAAAAAGCAGCATCCACACCCCTTGAAACGTCACCGGGGTGCAGAATTCCGTTGTCGGGTCCAATGAAACATCTGTCAGCAGGTAATGTCTGTGGCTACGACTTTTCTACACCTTACCGGTCTGCATTCACAAGGCAAATCTTCACATATGACAGTACCATTGAATTTTCATGTTCACGACGCTGATATGGATCAGATGATAGCCATGTGTTCGTGATTCCTCGATCGTCTTAAAAAGCGTGAACCTCGGTGACAATTGGTTCAGTGGCAAAGTCCATCTTCACCTTTCAGGATATAAAAACTCCACAAATGCTCCCACCCACTCCCTGTTATATAATAATAATAAATTATCAATAGCTTTTTTTTTGTTTTGCACATATACCCACTGGACAGCAAGCGCTGTGCGCTTTACACTATATTATTACCCCCAGCAGACCGTAGAGATGGAGTACTGTTTACACGCCTCCCAAAAAAAATGGGTATATGACTTTCCTTACAACATATACTGAATTGGTGCATTTTGCGTTTATGGGTGTTTTTTTTCTGAATGCCATTTCGGTTTCCAGATATAAATTTCAACTTCAAGAACTTTACGTCAAACAAATTTCGTTTGAATAATCTACATTTGTTCCAATGACAATATTCTAGAAAACATATTGTGAGAGTTATTCAGAAAAAAGTTGTAAAGTTATTTTTAGATCACCCAGTATTTTAAAGCGTGAAAGGGCGACGAAAACGGGTTTGTTTTATGAAACATGATATTTGAAATGAGAGCAATAGGCTGTATTATCATTATGTAAATATGAGTGCAAAGCGAAATGTTCTCCTAAGTTGACATTTAAAACTGCTTCTCTTGCCTTTTACAGTTTCAGTGCTAGGATTGCCTGAATCTATTCCTGGCGAAATGTGACAAGTTATCGTACTGTCTCTAACTGGCCTGGCCTTTTCTCCTGTAATGCCGCTTCTATTCCATCAAAAATAAAACTTTAATCTGCTATTATGCTTCCTCTTGTATCGCTAGATATCGGGGAAATGGTGCAATTTTCAGTCAAGGGCAAGGTGGATGGCTTCTGTGGTTGAAATCTTATTATTTTGGAGGACCTCTTTAACGCCATCCAGCCAAGTTTGTGGTCATCAAAGTAAAGCTCAACACACAACCCAATACATGTACTCGTACCGAGACTAGGGTTTTGTACAATACGCTCGCCTCGACTCGTTCCGTTCACCTGCACTTTCACAAAATGTGTGCCAATACTCGTGAAAGGCATTTATTACATATCAGTGGGTGGCCAGCCGGTGCTCCAGCGTGGTTTGCCTTTTCTTTTTTATCGTCATTATCTCTCCTCGATTTTTTTTGTTACTCTCTTGTCACATCTCTGATTTTCGTCACTTATAATTTGACCTAATTGTGTTACACATGGCCAAAATTCTCACAAAAACTAAACCTAGGCATCACAGGTGGCAGCCTGACATCGGAGGAGATTTTTTGGGCAGATTGAGAGAACGGTGAAGACGATTGTGGTTCGAGTCCCAAGAGGTTATTATTTCCTTATGCCATTTGAGGAGAATCCATGTGTCAACACACACTTGGTCTTGCTCTAAAGAAAACGGACAGCAAAGTATATTTCCCGCCTGTCAAAAATGTTTCAGTGTCTTGTGAGGAACGTTTAGCTTTATCAAATGACAGGAGGGCGTATCATTCTTTCAAAACATTGTGAATATTATTTCTGCCCGTCATGTGCACGTGCTGTTTCAAAACAAAGAAATCCAAGTGAATTGATGCAATGGTATCTTTGCACAACGTTTTTATTTCCACGTTTTGACAACACAAAATGACATAAGAACATTAATGTGGATCCTTTTTTTAGAGATTATTCCCGTGTGCACACAACTCTAGCCTCAGTATTTAATAACAATGAAAAAAAAAATTTGCACATAAACACATACAGAAAAAAACAAACACACACACACACACACACACATACACACACACACACACACACACACACACACACACACACACACACACACACACACACTCACGCCCTTAAGCCTCATCTATATTTTGTTCTTTTCATGTTGTACAACTGCCAGAAAACCGTTCACACCTTGTGATGTCAATTGCACCAGGGGAAATTTCTCTGGAGGGAAAATACACAGAAAACAAAAATCTACCGAAAATAGTTACACATCACAAGCCTGGAATATCAAGTGTTTGAGAGAAAAACGAATTATTAATATTGGCTTTCCATACTTCTTACATGAACCATTACTTTGCTGACAGATGGACATAAAAATAAAAGCGTAGATACCGATGACTAGCACGCAAAGACCTTCTTTGCGAATACGCCATTTTCGGGTATGTAATATGTTTTTAAAAATCTCGCATCAAAGCAAGTATAACAAACCGATTTGGTCGTAATATAAGTTTGGCTTTTTGACAACTTTCAACGCATTTTTTATACCATTACCTCAAAGATTTCGAATGCGATTTTCAATGTTATTGCACCCCATTTTATCTGTTGAACAATATAACTTCTATTTTTGTTGCAATTTTTAAGGGTTTAACTTTACCTTCCTTCCGCTAATAATTTATATATTATAGTATTATATTAAAATGAAAATACTAAGTCAGAAATGATTTCATTAAATGTGTCTTTAAATAATAGGAAAGGTACTAAAATTAGACTCGGATGTTGCATGTTTCCAGGGTTGGGTAAGGCATTTCCAAACTGATAGAGAAATCTGGAGAGAGGGATCTTTCAGACAACTCTTTGTGTATGTCCTTTTCCGGGAACACTTGAAAATACTGATCATAAGGATCTACATGGAACATAACTATGGATGAAATCCCTAAGATGTCAGGGTGCTTTGTTATTGACACATTTAATTTGTGGCGTGGAATTACAATTTGTACGATATTCTAGCTGACACACGGAGCAATGAGTTCCATTTCTGTTCTAAGCACAAGCCTAAATAATGATTCTGAAAACGTGGTAACTTGTAAAGAGCGAAATTAGGTAGATTAGCTAGTGGAATATTGTAGTTATCGATACATGGACAAAGGAAAGATGACACTTTTCAAAGAGCATTCTTTAAAAAAAAACAACGACAACAACAAAAAATGAACAAGGAAGCAACAAAAAAAAAAAACCCAC